GACAGGTTTCTTTTTTCCTTTGCTTTTTAGGTCACACCCAGCGATGCTCAGAGTTATTCCTGGCTCTGCACTTGGGTACCATCCCTGGAGGTGCTTGGGGGACCATATGGGATGCCGAGGATCGAACCCAGGTCGTCTGCGTGCAAGGCAAACACCCTACCGCTGTGCTATCTTTTGGCCCAGAGATGGGTTTCTAGGCTCAGCCAACCCCTGTCCAGCAGGGCAAGGGGCAGGGTCTTGCGTGGATGGACCTGCCCACCTGGGGACTGGTGCTACTCTGGAGGGTTTTTGCCATGACCATGGGGCCTCCCTCTATTCTCAATGCCCTGCGGCACCCTGACTTCTCTCTCAGCACGAAGAGGTATGTGGAGCATTCTCAGGAACACATTCTGGTGGTGAAACCTCCAAGCTTCGTCATTCCTGTCCACGGCAATGCACCCAGAAAAAGTTCCTCATGTGGTCACAAAGCAGGGTTCCTGGATGGAGCTGTGTGCACCCAGAGTTCAGCAGCCTTATGAGGTCCACCATTGGGGGTGGCCCTGGCGGCCCTGCACAACACCTCCAGACCAGGCTGGGCACCTCTAGCCACAGTCAAGGCCCCTGAGCACCAGCAGCGCTGCTCTGAAATCCTGCCCCCATGGTACATCCCACCCACCGCTGCCTTCTGCAGAACGAATCTCCTCACACCTGCAGGTCCTGCCCCCGAGAACAATGGGACGTGAGTTCAGGGGCGGGGTGAATGGATGGATGTTGGGGCCTCTCTGGTTGGGCCTGGGCTCCCCATTGGACCTCTGGGAAAGAGCTTTCTTGTTGGGGCGCAGGCCGCCCCCAGTCAAGCCCTAAGAAACCGGGCCAGGGGCTGGCCAGAACAGAACCTCCCATACCCTCCTGGGCTCCAGCACCCACAGTACAGCCCCGGACATCCTCAGCGGCACCCGAGCAGCAGGTGTGCTGCGGCCCTGGCCATAGTCCCGCCTCCAGCCGCAGCCCCGCCCCCAATCACAGTTTCTGCCCCCAGCTGAAGCCTCGCCCCCAGATTCCACAGCCCCGCCCCCAGCTGCAGTCCCGCCTTCAGCCGCAGCCCCGCCCCCAACCAGGGCCCCGTCTCCAGCCGTATTTCCGCCCCCCCACAGCCCCGCCGCCAACCACAGTCCCGGCATCTAGCTGCAGGCCCCCGCCCCCAGTTCCACAGACCCGCCCCCAACCGTGGTCCCCGCCCCCGCCGGAGCCCCGCCCCCGACTAAGCCCCACCCCTAGCCTCCACGAAGCCCCACCCCCAACCTCCACAGACCCACCTCCAACCCCAGTCTGCCTTCAGCCACAGCCGCCCAATCATAGACCCCGCCTCCAGCCACAGTTCCCGCCCCTAGATGCAGCCCGCCCCCAACTACAGTCCCGCCTCTAGCCGCAGACCCCGCCCCCACCCTCCACAGACCCGCCCCCAACCACAGTCCCCGCCCCCACCAGAGCCCCGCCCCCAGCCTCCACAGACCCGCCCCAACCAGAGTCCCCGCCCCCGCCGGAGCCCCGCCCCCCGCGAAGCCACAGCCCCAGCCTCCGCAGATCCCTCCCGACCGCAGTTCGCCTTCAGCCGCAGCCCCTCCAATCATAGACCCTGCCTCCAGCCACAGTCCCGGACCCCAACCACAGTCCCCGTCTCCAACCCCATCACCTCCACCAGTAACCACTGGCTTGTGGGGTCAGCCTCGGGCTAAGCAGGCCCTGGTGAGCACGGGCACTCAGGGACCCGCCCAGATAAGTGTGCTGTGCCCAGTTGGAAACTACTGGGGGAGCAGGGAGAGGGACACAAGTAGGAGGACTGGGATGAAGGTGTTTTCTGGAGAAGCTCCAAGACCTCAGGCCTCCCTTCCTGTCTCCCAAGGTCAGAGCAAATGTCACCTCCGTTAGGAAGCCCTTCTAAGGCCTTCCAGGCCGGGTGGGACGCCCTGTCTCAGAGCAGGGATCCTGCCCAGGACTCACCTGAGGCAGGGATGGAGGGCTGTGGCCTATTTAGAGGCGACATGCAGATGAGTGACGTGTATCCAGTCAGGGAGTGTGCTCAGCGGCCCTCTGGCTGGATCCCACCCAGCACAGCCAAAGAAGGTCAGTGGGCCCCAGGGCTCATTTTGGTGGGCTTAGTGGGCAGGCAGTGACATGGAGGCCCTTCGGGCTCTGGGCCTCCACCATCCCTTCCAGAGTTTTCTCCCCTTGCCCTCCCCCGCACACTCTGGGTCTGGGTCTCTAGAGCAGTCCCAGGCCAGTGGGACCCCCATCTACCCCCTGTGTCCATGTCAGGGCTCTCTCCTCTGCGTGACCCCCACGCTCACTGTGGGGAGATGCCAGCACCCTGCCTTTGAGGGGCGTGGACCCACCCTCAGCAGGACCCCGAGCACAGGCTCTGGGACACAGTACATGAGAGTTCTGGAGCCCTGGGGGAGCCTGGAGGGGTGGGGCCCTCCCTTAGTGGTGGCGGGGCTATCACTAAGACAGGACCCCAGGATTGGCACCCACACTGGGCATCAGCTCACTAACCCTGCAGAGTCAAGTGCACCCGAGGGTCTTACACCTGCCCTGGGGGTCTCTCACACCCATCCTGGGGGTCTCACAGCTGCCCTGGGGTCTCTCACACCACCCTGGGGGTCTCACAGCTGCCCTAGGGGTCTCTCAACCCACCCTGGGGGTCTCACAGCTGCTCTGGGGGTCTCCCACCTGCCCTAGGGGTCTCACACACATCCTAGGGTCTCATACCCCCTGGGGGTCTCACACCTGTCCTAGGGGGTCTCACAGCTACCTGGAGGGTCTCTCACACTTGCCTGGGGATGTCTTACACACCCTAGAGGGTCTCAACCTGTCCTAGGGGTCTCAGACCTGCCCTGGGGGTTTCACACCCACCCTGGGGGTCTCACACATGTCCTGGGGGTCTCATACCCACCCTGGGGTCTTACACCTGCCCTAGGGGTCTCTCACACATCCCAGAATCTCATACTCACCCTGGGGGTCTCACACACCCTAGGGGCCTCATACCCATCCTGGGGGTTCACTCCCACCCTGGGGGTCTCACACATGTCCGGGGTTCTGCACGAACATCCACAGTGCCTATGAGACCTGGTGTTGGGGTCAGAGAGCTAGGCCAGTCGGCCCTGCCTGACACTGACCATTGGGTCAGGATGTCCCAATCCCAGCCCCAGGGGAGCAGGGAGGGACTGTGGGCCCAGAAGCCCTGACCTAGACCAGGGGCTCCCAGGGCCCCCCCAGCTCCCAGTCCCGCCCACACCCTGTGAGCGGATGTTTGTCCCACAGCAGCTGTGGAAGCAGCTGTCCGCCTGGCCACCCTGTGCTCCCCGGAGGCCGCCCAAGCCCCATGGGCCTGTCCCTAGTCGGTCTCCGCCCCTGCCCCATGGGCCTGGCTCAGGCGCCGGGGCTGTCCTCAGTCTGAGCTTCCAGGAGTCCCGAGTTTTGGGGGACGTGGGGCAGGAAGGGGGTGCACCTGTCCCAGGGCTGACCTCTTCCTCCCCCATTCACAGCTTCTGGGCGGGCGGGGGCCGCATCTGACGGTTGCACAAGGTTGGGGTGGCAGCTGGGAAAGTTGTTTTTCCCGCAAGCCTGGGGACAGCCATGCCTCAGCTCCCACCTCGGCCACACGCCTGCTGGGGGGTGCGGAGGGGACATGGGCAGAAGGAGTCCAGCCGGCAGTGGCCCCCGCCCAGCACCTCCAAGGCGCGATTCTACCAGAACAGCCCAAGGCCAGCAGGGGGAGCCGCAGCGCCCCAGGCCGGTGCAGGAAGCCGGGAGGGGTTTGGGGCCCCGGAGATGGCCCCTCCCGCTGGCGATCTCCCTCCTGAGACCCCGCCAGGAAGGTCCTTGAGGCAGGGGGACAGGTAATCCCGCCCGGGGTCCACCCTTCATCCTGCCTGGCCCCCCACCCCCACCATTATGAAACTGCTTCTGCAACGGCAGGCGCAGGCCCGGGCTTTGCCCTTCAGCCCCTCCACCCTGCCCCTGCCCCGGGAGCACCCCCAACACACCGCAGGACCTGCCGAGGCATGCCGGGAGATTGGTGGTGGACAGCCGGACCCAGGGAGACACGAATACCCAGAGGGCGGGCCCTGGACAGGGGCTGTGTCCGGGCAGCCGCGCCCCGAGGGTGGCACCCATCGAGGCACAGACAGAGCCCCATAAGGACCTACAGGGAGCAGAGGCCAGGGAGCACTGCACAGAGGGTGTCCCGGGCGGGGAGCACCGGACATAGAGCGGACCTGGGGAGCCTGAGGCGGGTCAGCCAGGACACAGCACCTGCCCCTCCTCTCCTGCACTTCTGGGGTCTGCAGGCTCAGTGGAGGGGGCATCCATCCCCACGTGAGGCTGCAGGCCATCGAGGAAGGCTGGGGGTCGCCCTCCCTCCTCCTCCTCACCCCACATACATGCACAAATGTGCACACATGCGTCACACTCTCCCTGTGCTAGCCAGGAGCCAATGGGGCATCTGTGTCAGGGGCTTGTTCGGAGCCCCTCACTCTGGGCGTGGTCAGTGGGGGGCACATCTTCAGGGTGGGGTCTGCCCGGTCACTGGCACTGTTCAGCATGGCGCAGCTGGGGGGCACGGGGAGGTGGGGTGTGACTGTGGGATGGGAGGCCGGTGCTTGGGTTTGGCCCCCCTGGGTGGCGGCTCGAGGCCAGGCTGTGACTCTTCCAGAAGACACGGGTGGGGGTTGGGCTGTGCAAAGCCGCCAGGGACCCCTGACCTGGCACTCAGCCCCCAGCCCCGCCCCGCCTTACCCCGTCCCTGTCTCTGCGCTTGTGCGTGAGGGTGCGTGTACAGAGCAGCCCCGCCCCATGCGCCTCTGCCCGGTGTGAGGCTTCCCGGCCCCCCATCCCTGGGCCCCAGGGGCCTCCCGCACCAGGGGCGGCCAAGAGGGGCGGCCCGTGGGGACAGCAGGGCCCAGCTCAGGCGGTGTCCGGGCAGTGCCGTGGGGGTCCCGGGGCTCACTGCGCAGAGCCTGTGCATCTGTAAACTTTAATTCTGTACAGTAGAGAAACATACAATCCGAGCAGACACACCCCCAAAACTTCCCGCTGCTCTGGGACCCTCATCTCTGTCCACGCAGCCCCGTCTCGGCTGGCCCAGCCATGGGAATGGGTGCCAGGGTGCCGGTGGGCAGGGGCACAGCTCAGCAGGCATCTGCGGGAGGAATGAGGGCCAGGTGGGCTGGGCATAATCCCGAGAACTCGGGGTGGCCTGGGCGGGGGGCCGTCCTCACAGGCACCGCCATGGGGGCTGGATCCCAGGGCCTAGCAGGGGGGCCTGCCACATCCGGCGGAACGGTCCCCGGGGCTGGGCCAGCTCTGTCTCTGCTTTGTCCTCAGCTCACGGATCTGGGAGGCGTCACAGGACCACGTCGGGCATGATGCTGAAGAGCAGGTCCTCGTTGCCGCGCCGCACCTCCAGCAGGAGGCGCTCCTCGCTCAGTACCGCCTCCTGCAGCTCACTCGGGTCCCCCAGGGTGCGCCCATTCACCTTGACGATCAGGTCGCCATCCTGGATGCCCGCCCTGTGGGGCACAGTGGTGGGCTGGACGGGGCCGCTCGCCCAGGGCGTGATCTGGAAGTTCCTCCACCGCAGCAGAGAAGCCAGGGGCATTGTGTGCTTGAGCTTGTAGGCAAGTGTGCACAGGCATGTATATGTGTGCATGTGTGTGTGGGGGTGTAATATGACCATGTATGTGCGTGCATGTGTATATGTGCACGTGTGTGTGCGCGCATGTACATGCATGTGGAGGGGACATCTGGCTGCCCAGCCCCCCTCACCCTCCCGGCCCCTCCTACCTGCCGGAAGGGGAGTCAGGAGACACCTCCTGCACGTAGATGCCGCTGCTGACAGCAGGGAAGTCCGGGTTGCTGGTCCTGAGCTCCTCCACCAAGCTGAAAGCAGGCACCGCCTGGTCAGGTCAGGGCCCTGCCACGCGCTCCTCCTCCCCCTGGCCCCCGGGGGCCTGACCTCAGGGTGTCACCACTGGCTCTTGTCTGTTCCCCACTGAACACAGGCTCCCCAAAACACCCCTCGGCCAGGCAGATGGATGCCCGGAGGCAGGGAGAGCACAGATGCAGCAAATGGGGGGGACACAGGGAGGACGGGGAGGCAGAGGGAGGCCGGAAAGAGGAAGGACAGAGACTTGCAGGAGGCACGGACCAACCCTGGGTCAGGAGGGCGCGGGCACGGGACAGAGGAGGGTGTGGATGGGAGGACAAATGTGAGGAGGAAGAACGCTGGCTCATGGACGAGGGTTGCGTGGACAGGCAGACGGGTGCGGGGCATGCAGGGCCTGAGAGGAAAGTGGACAGGCAGGGCATGCGAGAGAAGCGGGTGGACAGAGGGCGTGCGGGGTGTGCGAGCAGGGCAGACAGGCTGTGGCACCGGCTACAGTCCACTTTTAGACTGAAGCCTAGGTCAACAGCTACTGGAACAGAAGGACGGTTTGGGGGCTGAGTGGTTGGGGGTGCAGCCAGTGCACCCTGACTCCTCTCTTCCTCTTTCCAACCCACACTCCTGTCTGCACTTTCCTCCCTCCTGCCTCTCTGCCCCAGGCAGGCAGTGTTTGGGGTGTCCACTCTCTCGGAGGCCCGTGAGGGGGGCGAGCTCCATGAAGAGGACACAGCCTGTTCTCCAGGAGCCCGAGGTCAAGGTCGGGGGCAGAAACAGGCAGCCCCCACCTTGAGATCAGAGCACGCACACTGGGAGCGGAGCACAGCCCCACCTGTAGGACAAGGCTCCTCCCACAGGGCACAGAAGAGTGTTGCCCCAAACTCAAGTCCACCGGGATCTCAGACTGAGACTGCGCTTGGAGATGGAGGCTCTGCAGGCAGGGGTCACAGGCTAAGGATGGACTGAATTCCGAGACGGGTGCTCAGAGACAGACACAACTAGCAGCCACTAAGTATCGAGGCAGGAGGGTGCTCCTGGGGAGGGTGGGAGCACCGCCCGGACACCCAGCCCCAGCTCCTGGCCCCAGCACGGTATTGTGGCAGCCTCCTGGAGGGGCCTAGGTTTCCTGGAGGGGTTTCCTGGGAGGTGTCCTGAAGGAAACAGGGATGGAGTAGATGAAGGGAGAGTTTGGCTGGGCAGAGGGCTGATGGTGGGGGCAAGGGCATGGATGTGGGCACCCCTGGGCTGGAGAGCAGGGCTGGGGAACCTGGGGGCGGGGCTGTGTGCGGCTAGGGGCGGGGCTCTGCGGCTGGGGGGGGGGCCTGTGAGTCTGGGGCGGGGCCTATGAGCCTGGGGCGGGGCCTGTGAGTCTGGGGCAGGGCTGTGTAAGGCTGAGGGCGGGGCTGTGTGAGGCTGGGGGTGGGGCTATGTGCAGTTGGGGCGGGGCTGTGTGAGGCTGGCGGGGCCTGAGTGGGGCAGAGCTGCGTGAGGCTAGGGGCGAGGCCTCTGAGGCTGGGGCAGGGGCCATTTGAGGGTGAGGCGGGCCCTGTGAGCTGGGGTGGGGCCGTGTGCGGTTGGGGGCAGGTCTTACAACTGGGGGCGGGGCTTTGAGGCCAGGGGCGGAGTCGGGGTGCAGGGCTCAGTGCTTGGCACACTCACCTTGGGGTGATGGCTCGCATGCGGATGCCAATGAAGCGCTTCTTCCAGTCTGGAAGCGAAAGGACAGAACAGATGAGCAGCACTTTCTGTCACCCTGAGCGCCAGGTGGGGGATCACCCCAGGATCGGCCGGCAGCAGAACCCCTCGGCCCTGCACTGTTTAGGCGATGCCCACACCCTGGGAGAGGCACTGTCCACTGCATCCAACTCCGGCAGCTCTGGCTTCTGCTTCTTGAAGGTACCACGCCCCAGCCAGCATCTGGGGACCCCCTCTCCCGAAGCCATGGCTGGATGGGTGGCCCAGTGAGGGGGCCTGCAGGTCCAGGTGCCCCCACCCCTATAAGGAAGCCCATAATGCCCCCTCCCCCAAGATGGGGTTCTGAGAGGGGCTGGGATGGAGTCACGGGGAGGTACAGGGAAGGGGGCACAGGAAAAGGGGCAGTGTCCTGACCACAGTCCTGCCCTGGGCCTTCCCATCTGCTGTCCTGGAGGTCCCCCTTTTATAATGACCTGGTGTGGGGGGGTCACCTTCCTAGAGCAGCTGTGGCATGGGGGAGACACGAGGAGGGGCCTGGGGGTCCTGCTCATGGCATAGGGACAATCTGGATATTCTCAGCTCTGTGGGACTGAGCCCCGGGCCCGAGGCCTAATGCCCTGTCCAGGTGGACAGTGTTGAATTGGGGCCGACCAGGAGGATGCCCAGATGGGGCAGGCATCCCGCACACTGTGCCCTGCGGTAGGAAACCCAGTCTTCAGGCAGACTGAGGGGAGGCAGGCTCAGGAGGGTCAATCCTCTGTCCCAGTCCAACAGCACAGGTGTGTGGGCTGACCTGTCCCCACGGAAGCCCTCGGGAATTTGAGCGTGTTTAAGATCCCAGTAATGGATGGAAAGGAAGGCCAACAAGTAGGACTGGACATTCGCTCCTAGCAGGACTGAGCATGGATGGAACATCTTGCCCTACCCAAGACTTCTGTGAAAACGGGGAAAACTTCAGACCAACCTTCCCCCTGATCTGAAGGAGGCAAAGACACACTTCCATTCACCATTTATATTCAATACCCTACATGAGGGGCCAGCCAGGCAGGATAAATAAAAGGCATCAGATTATAGAAGTGGGGCTGGGGAGATAGTACAGCAGACAGAACATTTGCCTTGCACATGACTGACCCGGGTTCGATCCCCGGCATCTGCTATGGTTCCCCCGAGCACCGCCAGGAGTAATTCCTGAGTGCAGAACCAGGAGTAACCCCTGAGCATAGCCAGGTGTGACCCAAAAAGAAAAAAAAGATACAAATTATAGAAACACCTTTCCTCACTGACTGTATAAACACATGGAAATTCTGATGGAGGGAGAGACGGATAGAGACTTCCCGAGAGAAGACAAATGGCTAATGACCTGTGAAACAGTGCTCAGCATCACCCACCAGGGAGATCCCAACTCGAACAATACTTGAGACTTCCTCACCGTGAGGAACAGAACACCCCTTGTTGGTGGGATTGGGTAAAGGGCCCTCACCCACTGCTGGTGGGAATGTTGACGGGCTCAACTTTTTGGGAAAAATGGAAACTTCTCGAAAGACTAAGGATGGATCATATGGGCCAACAATTCTACACCCCAGGGCCACAAAACTATTCAGAAAATCCCTCTGCACTCCTGTTTGCTGCAGCACCCTTTGCAGCTCTGGCGGCAGCCTGGGTGCCCAGGAACAGACGGGTGGGCGGAGGGGCTGCACACGCATGCACGGAAGCAAGACGGAAGCCATGAAAGCTGCTGCGATGTGGGAGGACCATGCGGGGGGTTAGTCGGGAGGGGCAGACACGTGACTGCACTCCTCTGTGGGGTCTAAGGAAACAGACGGGGCGTGACCAATGCCCATGGGCAGGAGTGCAGGACAGGCTGCCAGCTCTGAGAACTGGCATCGAGCTGAGCCTATCAGGTAGGTTGTGGGGACAGAGCACGGAACCCACATTTACAGTGTTGTAAATCATGATGCCCACATAAAGAGGAGCCCTTTGGGCCCCAAGAACCGAGTCAGTGGTTACTAGTTACAGGGTCTTTCGGGACCAACATTCAACATGGATCCTATGTAAACACGTATTATCTCTATGTAAGTAGCACACTGCCAAAACCTGAGGTTCAGAAGATGTGGCATTTATCATACCAGCAGGCCCATGGGAATGCCGCCATAAGGGTATACAGGGTTTGGTCCAGGGTGGACACCTTGATCCCTCAGTGCCCAGAGTCCTGTGTGGGCCCAGAGTCGAGAGCTGCTGATGTGTGGTCACACACCCCACACACAGCCGGGGGTGACAGGGTGGCACGAACCGGGAAATGGCTCTCAGGCTCATGAGCAAAGGCAGGGGTGGAGGATGGTGGGGACAGACATGCATGAGGCCACAGCCGTGGAGAGCGTGGGGGTGGGGACACAGTGAACAATGACAGGCAGACAGCTACAACAGGACATGCAGGTTTTATTTTGGACAAAAGTGCCGAGGCAATTCAGAGACAACTGCAGTTTTTTCTTCACTGGACAGATGATCCCGGAACCACTGAACATCCAAAGCAGAAAAAAATAATCAAAGATCCCCTCCATGCACTAGGAAAAGGGGTTCACACACACTCGGCTGCCAATCTTAGAAAGGGGCCAGGGCGCTGGCCGTGCAGGCAGCTGACCCGGGTTCCATCGCCGGGATCCCATACGGTCCCTGAGCACTTCCAGGAGCGATTCCTGAGTGCAGTCAGTAGGCTCTGAGGACTGCTGGGTGTGGCCCCCAAGCAAAACTGTATCCATCCATAAAGCATCGACCCATGGACCTTGTCATCCTTCCGCCCACCCACTATCCACGCTTCTGCCCATCCTTGCGTCCATCCTTGCATCCATCCATGCAGTCACTCATTATCCATCCGCCTACCCACTCTCCCACTCCACACCGGCTCTCCCGCCCCCTTTACTCCTGGTGTGACGCCTTCCCGATGCCCATGGTCTTGGACTGGCGCCCCCACGCTGCCTTCACTCACATCAGCAACTACTGGGACCTCGCCCTGTGCTTCTCTCCCCGTGCCCCAACCTGCAGGCCCCGCTGGCCCCCCAGGACCAGCCCCTTCCATCAGACAGGCCCCACCGCAGGTGAGAAGGCTGTTGGCCTGCACCTGCTTCCTCTCCCTCGCAGCAGGTCTGACCTTAGACCAGGCCTGCAGCTTCCCAAAGACTCCGCCAGGGAAGAAGTGGGGGTGCACTGTCCAGGCCAGGCTATCACTGAGCTCCCATGAGCTCTGCCCATTAACTCACACTAAGGCTGTGCCCATTAACTCACACTAAGGCTGAACCCCAAAGCCCCTCCTCCGAGGGCCCAGCCACCAGCCTGGATGCCCTGGCACACGCAGCTGCTCTGCTCGTTCTGGCAAAGTGGGTCTCGCACGGCCGCATCTTTATTACGCAACACAAATGCCGCCCCCGACCCGCCCAGCAAGGGCTCTGCAGGGTCCACGGCTGCCCGTGCTCTGGCTAGTCATGGGATCAGGGGGGTGCGAGGGGCTGGTGCCCACGAGCTCTGGACTGCCAAGGGGGCGAAAGCAAAACGAGGTGCCCACACAGTGCCAGTGCCAGAGGCGAGTGCCACAGCCCTGGAGGCCGCGCCCAGCCCGAGGCACAAGGGCACCAGTTCCCCCCGGCCATCAGGGGAGAGGGCTGAGAGCACGAGAGCACGTGGCCCCCACCCTTGCTGCTCAGGGCCCAGTGCTCCAGCAGCCCTGGGCGGGGGGCAGGGCACGAGGAAGCCACGCCCCTACTCTGGTGGGCCACAGGCCCACTGCTTCCGCAGAGGCATGGGGGCAGGCCTGAGGTCAGGAGTGGGGCCTCCTGGAACTGCTCAAGGCTCTCTGGGGCTGGACGCAAGCTCGGTCACTGGGGGTGGACGAATGAGTGCTGCAAGCCTGGGGAAGAGCAGAGGTGGGCTAGGAGAGGCCAGCGTGAGGCATGACGGTGGGGTGCAGGCAGGGGAAGGGAAGGGAAGAGGGGTAGGCGTGGGCAGGACACTGGGTGATGGTGGGATGGTGGAGAGAGGGAGGGAGGGTGAGGACTGCGAGTGGAGGGAGGGAATATATGGGTGGGACTGAAAGGGAAGGAGGGAGGAGGAGGGAAGGGGAGGGAATGTGGATGGATGAGTGGGTGGACTGAAGGAAGGAAGTGTGAGGGAGGGAAGGAAGGAGGGAGGAAAGAAGGATGGAAGAAGGGAAGTGAGGGGGGGAGAGGAAGGAGGGAGGGAGGACAGAGGGGGGAGGGGAGGGAGGGAGAGAGGAGGGTGGACAGTGTGGGAAGGGAAGAGGGGAAGGAGGAGGAGAGGGAGGAGGGGAGGAAGGAGAGGGGAGGGAGGAAAGAGGGGAAGGAGAAGGGAGGGGAGGGAGGAGGGAGGGTAGCAGGAGGTACGTCTTCAGGGCAGCCAGGGTGGGGTCAGGAGGTCAGGGCAGGAGAGGGGGGTGCGTCTGACCTTTGCCCTGCTTGTTCTGGGCCTCGGCCAGGAAGAGCATGATGCGGTCCGAGGGAATGGCAAAGGAGATGCCGGCTGCCACCTTGAGCGTGTTGATGCCGATGACCTCACCGTCCTGGGGGGTAGGGGGGCCAAGCTTGGCAACCAGTCTGAGATGCTCCTTGGACCCCCAAGGCGCCCTGAAAGGCACCACCTCCCTGCCCGCTGTCTCCATCCCTCACAGATACTCCTCCCCCAGGAAGCCTTCCGGGTCTGCACTCCCCACCTCCCTCTGGGCTCCCCAGCATCAGGTGTGTGACCAAGTGGGGCCAGTCTGATGATTCTTGTCTGCGGGTCTGGTCACCTGCTGCCTTATCTGGGAACCTCCTGGACTCAGAGTGAATGTGGCCTTGGGCAGCACTGTGCTGGGGGCAGGGACTGGGGGAGGCAAAGGGGACACTGGCCACCCTTCCCCTTGCCCGGGAGGACACGGAGCCCTGTGTGGGGCTTCTCCAGGTGCCAGTGTGCTGGATTCAGCCCAGCTTCAGCCCTGCACGTGGCGGGGATTCTGGACCCCGGCTTTGGGGTCACTTACCAGGTTCACCAGGGGACCCCCCGAGTTCCCATACTGCAAGAAAAGGAAAGTGCGTGTTAGCTGTGACCCCTCCCCAGGTCACAGCTGCGCCCAGCGCCCAGTGCCTCCTCCCCCCGCCACCCCCCCCCCCCCCCCCCGCCCCCTCAGGCTGGCCTCTGAGCTGTCTCCCCCTCCCCCGTATGGCCCACAGGAAGCCGCGGGAGCCACAGAGCTCGGGCCTCACGTTGATGATGGCATCCGTCTGGATGTAGTCCATGTCCGAATCGGGCAGGCCCAGCTCCCGGCCGTCCCGCTGGTTGGTGCTGACGATGCCTGTGGTCACCGAGTTCTGCAGGGCAAAGGGGCTGCCGATGGCCACCACGAACTCCCCTGGCCGCAGGTCCGCTGAGCTGCCCAACAGCAGCGCCGGAAGCTTTCTCTGGGGGGCGGGCACCCGGGAGGGAGGTCAGCAGATGCCCACCCCAGACTGGCCCCGGGAGGGTGGGACAGACAGACAGGCCCAGGCAAGGCGGCCATAGGGACCAAGCAGGTGCGGGAAGGCCAGGGCCTTGAGTCAGCTGACCACTAACGGGACCTCGTGGACATGTGAAGACCAGTGCCGCCGCCAACATGGTCTGGGGCTGGGACCTGTCCCCCTTGCCCCAGTTTTCCCTGGTCCCATTCCATCCCCCAGGGGCAAGGAAAGCGGGCATTTCTGTGCCCTGAGACCCTCAGGATCACAGCCCCCTCCCAGTCTGGGGACTGAGGTGTGGCCTGGTCTCTGTGCCCACCCCATGCAGGCAGCCCCCTTGCCCCCTGGACAGTGTGCTGTGTGTCCCGGCAGGCCGCGGAGCTCACGTTGGGGTGGATCTTGAGAGTGGCGATGTCGGCCTTCTCATCTATGTGCTGGATGGTGGCATCGTACGTGTCCCCACTCTGCAGCTGCACCTTCAGCTGCTGCCGGCCCGACACGGAGTTGCTGGTGCTCACCACGTGTGCGTTGGTCACGATGAGCCCATTGTCTGACACCAGGAAGCCGGAGCCGCTGGTCACCGGTGCATTGTGGCCAAACAGCGGGTGTCTGGGGGTGGCACGGAGCCTTCAGAGGCCCAGCAGGCAGGCAGGACCCCGGGGGCAGATGGAGAAGCGGGGATGCAGGGGGCATGACACGCTCTCCCAGCAGAGGCCGGAGCCCCTCGAGTGCTGAGCTGGGTGCTGGGCAGGCAGTCTATTCCCTGGACACAGGACAGGTGAGAGGCCTGCCAGCAGTGCCTGGGGGCTCACCCCAAGCCTCAGCTCCGCCCCCAGATCCGAGACTAGGGCTCAGCGGGGGTGGGGTCAGCAGCTATGGGGTGGGGAGCAGGAACGCTTCTGCCCCAGGGGACACGCAGGCCCATATTCTGGGACTGAGGCCACCCCACGCAGGGTGGGGCCCCAGTCTGCAGGCAGGGAAACTGAGGCCCAGGCACCCTGGCCTGGCCAGGAAGCCTGGGGCCACCTTCCTGTTAGGGGTTACGCAGAGGCCCGGGCGGCCCATCTGTGTCTGGGATCTGCTGGCCGCGGGGGCGCAGGCGGGCACCGGTAATTAGTGGCCTCGGGCGAGGGGGCGACAGCAGCACACCTATCATTTCACCCCAGTGACGTGGGCGGCCGTGGGAACAGCAGCGAGGGCTTGGAGGGGCAGCCACTCTGTGGCACTGGGAGCCAGGCCACCGTCACGGAGAGGAAGCACCGCAGACCAGCCTGGGTATGAGGCCTTGGGGTCTACAGCCCCGAGACAGGCCGGCCAGGCGCTGGTACGCCAGGACACCTCCTGACCCTACCTCTAGGGGCCAGCGTTTCCACCCAGCACTCAGGCCCCTGGTCCCCCACCCCTGCCCCCATGTGGGAGAGGTCGGAGGCAGGCAGGAAGCGAGAGCAGCGCCAGTGAGCTGGGTTCCCAGCAGGGGTCAGAGGGGGATCCCAAGGGCAGAATGCCAGGGGGCCCCTCTTGAGGGGTGCGGTGAGACCCCAAGATTCTGTGTGCACGGCGGTTGGGTGGGCAGCCAGGGCGGCCGGCAGAGGCGCAGGGGTGTGCTCTCCTGCCCAGCAGCGGTGGTGCCTGGAAGGGCTGGCAGGGGTCAGGGCTCTCGGGAGGCCACGCACCTCAGGAACAGCTCCACATGCACAACAGCTGGCGCAATTTTGTCCACGACGTCAGCGATGAAGTTGAACTTGTAGCGCGGGCTGCCGGGCTGGAGGGCACCTGCACTGGCAGAAGGCACGGGCTGCATGAGACCCAGCCCACCCCCAGCAGGGATGCTGCACCGGGGCGCCCACCTTGTGTATGGTCGCCCACCGTACACACACAGGCGCCCACCTAGTGCATGGACACCCACCCCGAGCGCAGATGCCCACCTCATGCGTGGACGCCCACCCCATACGAGACACCCACCCAGTGCGCTGACACCTGCCCTGCGCGCACAGGCACCCACCCTGTGAGCAGACATCACTCCCCTACAGGGCTGTCCACCCCGCACACGGGCCTCTGGAAACGGGCTCCACTCACCCCGAGTATGGCCATGGCTCGGGGCTGCAGGGCCTCAGAGAGGCCAGGACACGAGCCGGCCTTGAGCCACCCTGGGCGTGCCCTGAAGACCCGTCCGCTGCCCTTACTCACTGACCCGTGGACAGTGGCCTCCGGCTGCTCCCTGGAGCCATGCCCGCCCCCCCATGTCAGACTTGGCCCTGCTGCCGGCCAGGAGGGTTGTGAACTTCTGCGGAACCTTCTGGGGCTCGGGTTTCTGCGCCGTCAGCAGCAGGCCGCCCACGGGGCTCGGCTCACAGAGACTTGGGCTGCCTCTCTGGACCCAGGATTGCTGGCCCCCACCCCTGACCCCCAGCTGACTGCGGTGGGGTGGGGGGTCCGGAAATCCCACCTGCAGGGCCCATCCAGAGACCCAGGTCGGGTGCCTGGGAATCACCCCTAGGGCGTCACAGCCCCACATGCATCGTGAGGCTGGGCAGGGCAGGGCCGGCCCAAAGGTGTGGACAGGCTCAGCCGCAGTCTCCTTCGGTGTCGCCAGCCCTGCTGGTGGCCCCTGGGGCCTCCACAGCCCAGCAGACCTGAGCCGGGACTCTGGGCCCAAGGGGCGGATTTTCCGGAAGCCAGGAGGCCCACCCAAACTCTCACCAAGTCCAACTTCCCGCCAGCCAGCCCATAGGGGCGGGGTGGGGGATGTAGCCCCCTCCATCAGACTGGGGTGGCCTCAGGGTGATCCGAGCCAGGCCCAGCTGCTGCCCCCACCCCGCAACTCTGCCGCCAGGGCAGGTGCAGGCTGGCCCCTACGAGTGGCCAGAGAGGAGGCAGACCTATCAGCACCCCAGACTGAATCTGATACATGGGGAGGGTTTCCATCTCCCCAGGAGCGCCGTGGCCCCCGGAGCTGGCAGCTCTCCATCAACTCCCTGAGGAGCTTTTGTTTTGGCGCCACACCTAGTGGTTCTCTAGGATCACTCCCAGCAGACTGCAAGGAACGTGTGGGGTGCCAGGGACCGAAACAGGGCAGCCTCGTCGGAAGTGAACATCCTCCCACCGAACTATCGCTGCTGCCTCGAGCGAGAACTTAAAACCAACCTTGTATGAGGAAGGAAGTATGGCAGGAAATCCCTGGGGGTTCCATGTGGACTGGGGGGGGGGCAGGGTGAATACTGATGCTCCCGGAACACCACAGGGCGCAGGCGAGGACAGTGGGTACGGGTGCATCGGTGTATCCGTGACTGGGTCCCAACCCCCCAGGCAGCGACCCACACCCCACACGGGCACCAGCTCTTTCCAGTCAGGGAGGCAGCTGAGCCTCCGTCCCTCCCCCCAGCTGGGGTCAGCAGCATAGATGGGGAAGGGCGGGGTGAGGTGGGGGAGAGCCAAGGGGGGTGGGGTGAGGCTCTGCAAAGAGGTCCCCACAGCCTCCCACCCAGGCAGCCCTGTCTACCCATTGGGGATGGTGGCACCGCCAGCTCCTGCCCTCCCAGACCCTTATGCGGGCTCCTGTCTGCGCCCCCCACCCCCGCTGTCCTGTCCCTTTAAGCCAGTGTTGGTGGGCAGCGGCGGGGAGGGCGGCGGTGGGCAGGCCAGGCTGTGAGTCACCATGAATCAGTGGGCTGAGCCGTGGCTCCCACTAGCAGCGTGGCCCCACGCTGGGAAACGGACTCTGTTTATTTGGGGCTTCGGCAGCCCCCGCCCTCCCCTGTCTTCAAGCCAAAGTTCTGAAGTCAGCACGGCCTTGACCAGAGCCAGCTGGGAGCTCGTGTTTTCAAAAATAAACTCATCCGCAGGCCCCGCGAGTTTCCTTGGGCGAACTTGACACAGAGGAAACCATCAAGGCCAGGCGTATGGAGGCCCCTGGGGGTGTCCAGGGGCACCTAGGTGTTGTCTGGGTGCCCGGAAAGAAGATGGGCACGGCCATGGGGCAGGGGCCTGGTGGGGCTGAGTATTCCTCCTGCCAATGGTCATCCCTGTGGCTCCCCACAGGGTGGGCTAGGAAGGAGCCTTCAGGTGACCCCTCCATCCCAGCCACACCCGTGGGCTCTTAGCTTCCCAGGCCCTCAAAAGAGGACCACAGGCAGGGTATGGGGGTGCCCTGAGCTGCTCTCTCCCCCACCCCGGGCCCACAGGTCTTCCTCAACCCCCTCCCCAAGCCTGTCTGCCCTTCCCACTGCCTGGACACAACAGGGGGGACTGGCCCCACAGACAGCCAGGGGTGCCCCTGGCCACAGTGCCCAGGCTCTGAAGCCGGGGCACACCCGTAGCTCCGTGTCACTTTCTCTGCCTGTCCCTAAGCTCGCCCACCAAGAATCAGACTCAGGCCTGTTGCATCTGGGGGTGGCCGTCAGCTGCTGCGTGCCCAGGGGCCCAGGCTCCTACCGTGGGAAAGCCAGTCTGCAGCCCACAGTGCCCTAGCACCCCAGAAGGATAAGCCTACAGACCACGCCCACCACCACGCCCCTAACCACGCCCCTAGAGGCCACGCCCACTGTCTTCTCACCTATGTCTGTGGCTCTGGCATCTACAGCGAATGGGGATCCCTGTGCTGCCCTTCAACAAGCTGGGCGCCTCCATCCACACACCCCAGGAGTGTCAGCCCAGACCCTCCCTACACACTCACTCACACACACACACACACACACACACACACATCCCACACCCCACACCCCACACAGGCCTTGCAGCCTCGCCCCAGGGGCCCGCACCCCAGCTCACAGAGGAGGAAATGGAGGTGCAGGGTATGGAGCAGACACGCAGGGTCTCAGCACCCAGTCAGCAGTGAGGGGCTCTGTACCTTGCACAAGCCCAGCACCACCTGCACACCCCAGGCCTGGTTGCCCAGAGCACAGGGCTCCTCCACCCTGCCAGCTTGCTCAGGGCACTCACACAAACCCGCGGGAGCTACCTGCCAAGCAGAGGCCTGCCCGTGGGCACCGGGAACCGAAGCCCCTGCCCCCTGCAAGGGGCCAGGATAACGGGCCACAAGTCTGATGGACTGTGTCCCTGAGCCCACGAGGATCCCGAGTGCTGCTGCCCAGTCACTGGGCCTACGACGCGCTCTGCACCGCCCACCATTCACTGCACCAGTCACTGTCCACTCTGCACTGCTCACCGTCCACTGTACCACTTAGTGCTCACCCGAGGTCCACGCTTGTCAGATACCCAGCTCAGGCCACAACTGATGCCCCCCCCCCCCCCGGAAGACAGGCCACTCTCGAGATTCCTGCAGCTGCACCCGCTGCTGCCCAAGATTTCCTGCCACCCCCTCATAGGGATCTGTGCCCACCCCCACCAAGGCAGCCCACAGGCTTCTTCCTCTAGGAAGCCCTTCCTGATTCTCCCTCCCACACCCGTACTGGGCTGGTTGGGCTACGCCTTGGTTCCCATCACCTTCCCTCACCCTGCACCCAGGACTGGGGGTGGGCTGGGTACGGGTGTCTGCTAGGGTGGTGATGCTGGGCGGGAAGCACTTGCAGGCGAGATCACACTGAGCCTGCAGGCTGCTCTGAGTCTGCTCCACCCAGAAGGTGGTGGGTGCCCGGTGGGGCTGGGGCAGGTGGAGAAGAGCCGTCCGGCCTCCTGTGGGTTGTCACGCACGGCGCCTGCGCAGGCCGACCCCATAGATCTACGACGTGACCAGCCAGGAGACAGGTGCTCGGCCCCTACTCCCTAGCGCCTGCCTTGGCCGAGAGCCAGTCCCCGGCGGCCTGGATCCCGGTCCAGCTGTGCCTGCCGTGTAGTGGCCGGGAAGGGGGAGAAGCAGGCATGGTGCCTGCTGCCAGGCCAGCCTCGGGTGCCAAGTCCAGGCCGCGCACAGCCTCGGAGCCAGCCAGAGCATTCAGGAAACAGTGAGACGCGGCCGAACGTGCTCAGGGCTGAATCTGGTCATTAGGTGTGCATGGAGAGCCCTGGCCGGCAGCTGGAGCCTAATCGCACCCTTTCAGGCCTGCTGGTCACTGGGGGAGGCAAAGGGTGCGGCCCGCCAGGCTGGGGGGCCCCCAGGCAGCCCCTCTTACCAAGCTCGGGTCTCCCCTCATGGCCTCGCCACAGAATGGCTCCCTCTGGCCAGTGTGGACAGGTGGAGGCCCCCGGGGTTTCTGAGCAGGCGAGGAGGCTGGGGCCTGGTGTGGTGGAGGTAAGACCAGCAGGGCTGTGGGGCCACCAATGAGACCCCAAGGTGCACTCGTGAGGTTTAGGGCCCAAGACACAGCATGAACAAAGGGCCTGTGGTGAAGGATGGGAGAGGGCAGGAAAGACATCAGGCAGGGCTATGGGGGAAGGCAGTGGGGGCAGGGGACAAGGAGAAATGAGGCCAGCTGGTGGCATTTCAAGGGCAAGCCTGTGGGAGGGGATGAGCAACAGGACAGGGGGCAGGGGGCTTGCTTTGCACAGGACAACCCAGATTCAGTCACCAGGGTGACCTGTAAGGGCAGGGCCAGGAGTAGGCCCTGAGCACTGCTGGGTGTGGCTCCCAAGCAAGCAAAAACCAAAACAATTACAAGGTTGAAAGAGTCAGACAGTTGGGGGTGGGGGGGGCGGGGCAGGGACCCCTGAGTCCCAGTCCCAGCTCCAGGCTGAGGGGAGAGACTGGGAGTTTGAGGAACCAGGAGGGGGCAGGAAGAGGGGGGGCTGAAGGGTGGGGCCAGGGGCCCCCAGTGGGCGGGACCCAGAAAGGCCTGGGGATGGGCAGTGCCTTTGCTGATGGCCCGATTGTCATACTGTCACCTTCCGGCCAGGCTCTGGCCCTGAGTCACTTTTGGCAGAGTTCGGAGCTCAGGGGTCAGATGCAGCCTGCAGCCCGCAGCCCGCAGCCCGCAGCCCGGGGTGGAGCAGTGGACAAGCAGTTGGTGGCCACTTTTTGACCTTGCCCCCTCCAGGGTCCCTGGCCTCCCCAGAACAGACAGCAGAGACTCCTGAGCACCGTGGACCCTGCAGCCTGCCAGTATGGCACCGGCACATGTGATCTGAGAGCACTGGGGTATGAGTCCTCCCCTCTCCACTCCCTGTTCCTTGAGCTTGGGGTGACTGAGGCGGGGCTTGTGGCCCTGTTCTGCTCCGGCCTCGCCTTCTGCAGCCCTCCCTTTCTTCCTGGGACAGCTCCCATGCCTCCCCAGCTCAGCATAGCACCCGACTCTGTCGAGGCCCCCATCACGTGGAAGAGACAGGAAGGCAGCAGGGTACCAGGGACTGTTACACACAGGACAAGAAAATGAATACTCAAAACCTTGTGCCAGCGCTGTGCTGCCTCCCTGCTGACTTACTCCCTGCGAGAGTGCTCCCTTGATGCTGCCCGCCAGCTGGGAATCCTATCACCCTCTTTACACACTTCCTGACTGCTCTGGCCATCCACTCCAGGCCCCACAGCTGGAGTTTCTCAGGAACACGTGAGACCATGTTCCCTGGGGCCTGTCCCCTGCGCAGCCAGACAGCAAAGGGCCGGGTCGGTCAGGATTGAAGGCCTTGCAGCGCGGCCACCTCTGCCCCTGAGCACCCCCAGCACCCCAGTACTATTCTCTCTGCTTTGGGACCACACTCAGCAGTGCTTGGGGTTGCTCCTGGCGCTCAGGGGTCACTGATGGCAGCGCCTGGGAGACCGTATGTGGTCATCAGGGGATCAAACCCAGGTCAGCTGTGAGTATGGAAAGTGCCCTCCTCGCGGTCCCCACGCCCCGGCCCTCCTGCAGGTCTATCCTAGGAACACGAGGGGGTGGGGGGAGACACAACAACACAATCAAACTGGGCACAGGGCCAGGCCCATCCAAGCCTGCCAGCTCAGACCCGTCAGCCTGCCAGAGGTGGGCCTTCTACCCCACGCGAGGGTGTCTTCAGTTGGCAATTATCAGACGGTCCCCAGTGTCCCTTCCCAGGGCCTGGGTCTGGCACCTCAGCTGACTTCAAAGCCCCCAAGCCTGACCGCACTGCGCTGTACCCCGGATTCCCCGGAACCCAGCTCCCAAGGCCTGCTAAAGCCCTGGCACGTGCCCCCTGTTGCAGGTGGGAGGCGGAGTGCCCGGCCCACCGTGGGGCACCAAGAAAGGGATTCAGAAAGGCAGCTGGGAAAGCCGGCCTCGGAGATGCAGGTGAGACCTCCACTCCGAGCCCAGACGATACACAGGCGAACACATGCACACGCACACACAGAAGCAGACACGTAGATGCACCCCCGCGCCGGCGAGCACGGGCGCATGCGCGCGCGCACACACACGTCCCACGAGCAGAAACCTCAGTATCTCCTGCGCTCCCCTCTGCCCCTCCACCTGGGTCTGGCAGCTCAGGCCCGGCAGCACCTACACCACCCTGTGCGCGCTGCTGCGGGTAAGGCTGATTGCACAGCCCCCCGCCAGGGTCCCCGGCGGCGACCCTGCAGGCTGGCCCGGGTCAGCTGCGGCGGGACCCCGGACAAACCCGCGCACACGGGCGCTCCCCGCGCGGGGCCGGCCGACCACGCGGGTTCCGCTCGGAGTCGCGGGGCGGGACCCGGGAAGAGCCCCTCGGCGCCGCGGTGCGCAGCGGAGCCCGGGCCCCGCCGCGGCTCCAGACCCCGCCCCGCCCGCCGCCCACCCGGCCGCCCGCCCGGCCGCCCGGCCGCCCGGCCGCCCGCCGGCTTACCCGAGGAGCAGGCGCCCTTGTGCAGCTGGCGGACGGGCGGCCGCGAGAGCAGCAGGGCGCGGCGGCTGGCGGCCAGCAGCGCGCACAGGGTGGTGTAGGTGCTGCCGTCGTTCCCGCACACCGGCTGCGCCCAGCGGCAGCGGCACGCGCCGCGCCGGCACTCCAGGCTCTCCCCGCACGGCGGGTCCGAGGGGCGCCCGCAGGCCTCGCCCTCGGCGGCCGCGCACACCAGGCAGCACTGGCAGCGGTCCGGGGCGTAGCCGCCGGGGCAGCGCGGGCTCGGGCACCGCGACACGTCGCAGCGCGCGGGGCATGGCGCCGCCGGGGGCTCCTGGGCGGGCGCCAGCGCGGTCAGCGCGGCCAGCGCGGCCAGCAGCAGCGCGCGCGCCTGCATGGCGCCGGCGGGGGACGGCGCGGGCGCGGGCCGCGGGGCGTCGGGTCGGGCGGCGCGGAGGCCGGCGCGGGCCCTGCGGGGACCCCGGGCGCCCCGGGCGGGGGGCGTGCGGCCGGGCGGGCGCCGCGACGCGGGGGCTGGCGGGGGGCGCGCGGCCGGGCGGGCGCCGCGACCGGGCGGAGGCCGCGACTCGGGGGGGCTGGCGGGGGGCGCGCGGCACCGCCGAGAGGCTCGCGGGTCCCGACGCCGGAGCTGTGCGGGCCGCCGGCCCCTCCGCGCCCCTTAAAGGCGCCGCCCGCCGGCCCCGCCCCCGCCCGCCCCCGCCCGCCCTTCCTGGCCGCGACCCACCGGCCCCGTCCGTCCGTCGCCGGCTCCCCGACAGCCGCGGGGCCTGCCAGCGCCCGCCCGGCCCGGAGGGCGCGTCCCCGGCCCGCGGGTCCCAGCACCTGAGCTCCACCCCCGCCCGCACAAGCCCAGACCCCCGCCCCGCGGGTCCCCGCCCCCAGTTCCAATCGCGGTGCAGACCCACGCGCAGGCGAACAGCTGCGGCCCGCCTCCGCCTGCCCGCAGGTCAGGGTGGGCCTCAGCCGTGGCCCACACGCCCACCAGGGGCGGGCGTGCGGGCCGGGCCGGACCCGGGACAGTACTGCGGGGGCCCGCAGCGCGGCGACGGGCATGCAGGCGGGGAGGCCGAGGCCGGGGCACCAGTGGGGACCACAGGGGAGCGGGGTGAGAGGGGGCCGGCCCTGGCACGAGGCGTTTCCTCTTGAAGACCCCCGAGAAGGGACGTCCCCTGCACGTCCAGGCTGGGCCGCCCCGCTGTCCACCGGCGGGGTTGAGGGTCAGGCCGTGTCCACCCAGGGCAGGCTCTCCGGGGGCACAGAATGCGGGAGACTGGAAAGGGCCAGGAGCCGGGTCCTCTGCCCGCTTCCCCCACGCCCCCTGCAGACGAGGCGTCTCAGCGCCCAGACCCCCGGGCCTGCCTCGGGGCCAGGTCTGCAGTGCCCTCTACAGGCCACTGGTGACACTGCAGCTCCTGGCCCTGCCTTCCGCCGCCGGCCACCACCAGGGGCTCTCTGCCCACTCAGGCTGGGGGCCACTTCCCTGCTCTGCCCTTCACAGCTGCCTGCAAAAAGCACGTCTATTCCCCTTGCTTAGGTGGGGAAACTCAGGCCCAGGAGAGGCCTGTCGCAACTTGGGCTGAAGGGACCGGCCCTGCTGCCCACCCCACCCTTCCCAGGCTTAGCCCACCAGGCTGCGGGTGGGCAGGTCTTCCTGGGGTCCCTGAGCTCCCTGAGTCTCCAGCCACGCCCAGGAGGCGGCTTCAGGTCCACCCAGATGGGGTTCCGCGGGGCTGGGACTGCCTAGTGGGCTCCCTATAAAGTGAGTGATTTCGGGTCCCCATCAACAAGAGCCAGATGGGCCAGAGCAAACATGGCCAGCCCCTCGCGCACTGTCCAGCCCTGCAGGTGCGTTCTGAAGCCTCAGTGACCCCGCCCGACACTCCAGCCCGCCACGGGCTGTGTTCCCTGGACACACCCGGGGCCCGTGCAGACACATCCCCTTGGAGTCAGTGTCTGGGAATCCAAGTCCCCCCAAGCCTGCAGGCAGCAGCTTGTGTGTGTGTGTGTGTGTGTGTGTGCGCGCGCGCGTGTGCATGGGAGGGGTCTCCAGGGAGCAGCGGCCTTCTGGGGCAGGTGTATGGGGCTCAGGGCCTGCACCCCCAAGTGAGGGTCCTGCTACCCAAAGTGACCTTCTTTGGGATTACTGGTGGGGAGCCATCACTGGCCATGCTTGCCCCACTGGACAGGACAGACGGATGGGTCCTGGCCTCCGGGGTCTCCCAACAGGCCCAGGACCACTGGCCCTGGACCTCTGGGGAACGAGTCCCTCATGGCTGGTGGACCCGGCCCAGCAACGTCCCTGCTCTGCTCTGGCCAGGGCTGCCGTCAGATGAAATCACGGCTTATGTCACTTGGAGCCCTCTCGACGGTCATGCCAACCACACCTCGGCCTGCGATAAGACTGCTTGGAACACATGAGTGTAACTCAGAGGAGGCCTAGTGCAGGGTTGGGGTGCATTTTATCCCCTGTGACGTCACACTGGGAGGAAGCACCCAGGAAACACCTGCCTTCCTGACTCCTGCCCCCCAGGGACCGGCCTCTGGGTAGACGCAGCAGCTAACACTCGGGAAAGCCTGCACCCTGTGAAGCCACTGCTGCTGGAACCCCTATTTTACTTATTTATTTATTTTGCTATTTTTTTTATTAGTGAAATGCCATGAGTTACAGTGGAACCCCTATTTTAAAGAGGAAGCACTCAAGGCTCAGAGAGGGTGAGTACCAGCCAAAGGTCACACAGCCTATGGGGGCAGACCTGTACCCAGCATCAGGCGCCCACAGGTACACCCAGTCTGGTGACTCGGCGGTCCAGGACTGAGAACCCTTCCAGTGCGGGTGATGACACTGAGGGCTCTGACTGCTGAAGATGTGGGGGACCAGGGAGGTGGCCACTCTCGGGGGCCTGTGAGTTGGGCAGGGATGTGTGCCTGACATCCTTGGCTTTGTCTGGCTCCAGGGAGACAAAGGCAGCTGAAGGCGAGGGGTGAGTTTCCAAGATGATGTCTCAGATTCAACTCATTTGGGGGCAGTGACAGGAAAAATAACTCAGGGCTTGTCTGTGGGTTGTGGTCAGGGTTGGACCAAGGTGGTCCAGGCCAGCTGCTGCCCGACCCGGGCTTCTGGGATGAGCCCCCACAGGTGCCTTATTGGGCAAGAGAAGCCAAGCCCCATGGGCGGCTCCCGGGCATGCATGGGCAGCAGCAGCGTCCACTGGAAGGCTCAGCCCTCTCTGTTGGCTGCAGGCCGTGAGGCGCAGTGCCTGCAGCAAGGCCCAGAAGGGCCCCTCTCAGCACCGCCAGCATGCCGGGGCCACCAGACAGAGTGCCGCCCCCTGCGGTCTCCTAGAATCTCCCCTGAAGGTAGTGCTTTGTACCTCTTCATACTAAACTCAGCTAAACCCATGCTTGTGTTTGTTTGACCAACACCCTCAGGCATGTAGATGTCTAATCTAGGGAAGGAATGTCCGTAGCGCTGATGTTTACTGGTTCTAGTCAACAAATACAGCCAGCCGTGGACAGTCGGGCCCGTCCTGAGACTGTCAGCCTCATCTGTGCTTTTTCAACCTTATTTCCGTCTCTTTCCTTACTCCTCATGGCACCGGCTTCAGGCCTGTTCACTCCGGGCTGGTCCCTGGCACTCGGCGGCAGGCAGCAGTGCCCAGGCCGGGTCCCCTTTCCAGCCCTGAGTGCTGGGCTCGCCTGTCAGGGCAGCTCCCTGTTATGCAGTCACCTCCCCTGGCTGTGCTGAGAGCTGCCTCTGGACCCGACACCTTGGTCCCGAACGCCAGGGCATAGCCCTCCACAGATCCCGCTGCTGCCTGCAGTTCTGCCATGTCCCCTGGACCTGGCCCTTGGCTTCCTCTGGGTGGGCAGGGGAAAGAACGAAGCTTCCTGCTGGGTTCTGAAGAAAGAGGGGTGCGGAGGGCCCCGATTCCCCCACCATGCCTGCCCTGCAGAACTCCTTCTGAGTGACCCTTCCTGAGCCGGCTGTGCCTGTAGAGAGACAGGACAGTGGAGTTCCAATCCCACCACATATGGTCCCCAGAGCCTGAGTGACCCTTGAGTGCAGAGCCAGGAGTAAGCCCTGAGCACCACCAGGTGGGGCCCAGATAAAAACCTAGTGTGAGATCGTGGTGTTTGGGCGTCCTTGGAGTGGCCCCCAGAGGAGGACGGGGCTGAGGGCCCTCTGGGTGCTGAAGGCCCCAGTGACGGGATGCTACGGAGCCTCAGTCCAGCAGTCGCCAGAACCTGCCAGCCTGGGAGCCTGGAGCCTCAGTGGGGCTGGAGGGCCTGGTGAGCCCCCTGAGGGAGGGCTGGCTAATGGCTCTGGTTTTAGGGCTCCCCGGAAGTCCCCAGGTTGAGGACTTGAAGAGGACGGTTTCTGCAGGCAGCTAACGGAGGAGCGGGGTGAGGAGTGAGCCACAGAGCCCCGTAGGGTTCTCCCCTTCCTAGTGCTGCCCACGCACAACTGGCCACGCTTGCAGACTGGAGCCCTGATTAGGCTGAGCCACAGCATCTCCCGCCCCTTCCACGTGATTGGTTCCGTCTGATGCCACGCCACGCCCATCGGAGCCTTCAACTTGAGCCGGGCTGGGCACCTGCTCCCTGGGCGGGAGTCGCGGTGACCAGCGGCCGGCTGGCCCCAGGAACAGTCTGCGCGGAGCCACCTTGGGAGCACCTGGAGGGGCGTGCGTGACTGTGGACTGTGGGTGACTGGCCGCACAGCTGGACGCTGACCCCAAACGCAGATGCCTGAAGCCACTCGCTTGGGGGCTAGCACTGACCACAGGGGCGGGCGGCCGCTCTGTGCTAAATGTGGGGACACCAGGAAGGGCCCCAGGCTGGCAAGGGAGGGAAGAGACGGGTTGGCAGGGGCGGGGTCGCAAGGGGGCCTTCTTCAGGCCCCACGACCAGAGCCCCTTCTGCGGTGTTGGAGTCTAGGGCCTGACTGCCGCCAGCAGGGGTGGGATCTGAACCCGCTCTCTGCTCCAGAGCCTGTGTGGTCCTGCAGGGGTAGGCTGCGGTGGACCCCTCTGTGGGATAACATTGGGTTGTCCTTGCTCCTCCCACAGGGATCTCAGGTTTATCGAGTTATTCCCACAACAGTGCCCCTGAGGCACACCAAGTCCCATCAAGTACTAATAATCCTAGGTTGCTTTTCTCTTTCCTTTATGTCATTGGCGTGGTTTATTTAGCAGTGTCCTTTTTGTATAGACACAGGAAGACAGTTCAAGCTCTACTTGTAACATGGGAGTTAATTGACCCCAATAATATTCACTTCTGTGCATCCATATTTACTTGACTTAAGCCTCAGTTGCCCTTAGTTCCCAGCACTCTAAAAGCAGGGTCCCGGCGAAAGGACTGAAGGGACCCAGGGCA